ACAACTCATCAGCAAACTGGAACAGCTGGGTCTCAGCACCTCCCTCTGTAACTGGGTGCTAGACTTCCTCAGCCAGCGACCGCAAGCAGTACGCGTCGGTAACAACACCTCGAGCACCATCACCCTGAGCACGGGAGCCCCCCAAGGCTGCGTACTCAGTCCTCTGCTCTTCACCCTATTGACACACGACTGCACAGCAACCCACAACTCCAACCACCTGGTGAAGTTTGCGGACGACACAACTCTGGTGGGTTTCATCACCAGGGGCGACGAGACTCACTACAGGAAAGAGGACTGTGTGTGTGTGTGTGTGTGTGTGTCTGACGTGAAGCCACTGTAGCATTTGAAATTATTTGATAATCGTATGCACTCGTGCAGGCTGAGTACGCAGGTCCAGGATGGAAACTGCCCCGAGGAGAAAAGAAAAATACTCAATGATGAAGTAATCCATGTCAAATCATTAAGGTGGGGATCAACAAAACATCAGGTGGATTATGAGTGAAGTACTTTTCTGAACGTGAACTGCAGTGGGAAGTTCACTACAATTTTTGTTTTTAGTGTCAATACTGCTGTAGAAATGGGTGGTGTTATAAATGTGCTGCTTTCCAACTGCATGGATGGACAGTCTATAACTATAGACTAGTGCAGTCACTTTACATTAGAGCGACATGGCGCCTCCCGTGTGGCAGCAGCTGGCACTACTGTGTAGAGTTTTTCTCTAGACATTTTTTTTCTAACTTTATAGCTCTTTGTCGAGTTAAGTGTGCACATTATTTAATCCAGCACTAATTTTTAAACGCTCATTTTTATCACTTTCTGGAGTTTTTGACTATGGTCTTATTACTGCTATAACATATTAGCATCTGTCGCCACGTAAAGGCCTCGCTACAGTACGTTGGGATTTAGTGTTATACAAATGAGAATGTAATTACATTTTAATGTTCTGTAATACATTTGGTTCGACTTTTGCTTTGGGAAGTGAATAATAAACATATCGGATGTTTTGATACATTGCCATTCAATTACGTAGCTTGGCCAAAATTGGATAAGACATTCACCACATAATTACGTACAACCTGCCGTGGTCACCTCTAAGTGCTGAGAATAATCAAAATAAATACTGCTTTGTGACATGATAGACAATAAGCTAATTAGGAATGGTTTATGGGGATAATGAATCCATTCTTTGCTGCCTGTGTAGTGAGAAAGGAGATTAACAAACAATGCAATGCTTTATTCCTACTTTTAATAAGGATGGGAAAATATTTAAGTGTTTATCCATCCGGCAGAGAAGATTATTCTCAGAATCTAATTACAATCATTTATTTATTCTGTGCATTTCCACAGCCGTCTGTGTTTGATGAAGACCTGCCAGCTGCTGCTGTTATCTTCTGGACAGCTGCTTCCAGCCGACTACAGACAGCATTAAAGCTGGACGTCGTAGGTGAACCCACTCCCCAAAGGGCTCTCTGCCCTTTTATTGGAAAGGATTTATTAAAACAGCCAGCTTCTGAAAATTCAATTGAAAATCCACCAGTGTGACTGTTTTCCCTCCAACTGTAGTTGACCCCTTCAGAACAGATGGAGCGATTGGGAGCACAGGAGAGATAAGCAGAAGTTGCAGCCTGTTTTTTTTTTTTTTGACTGCTTCAGATGACTGGCAGGTGGAAGAGGCAAGAAAAAGTCAGTGGTGATAAATTAGTCTGATCTTCAATTGTTAGCTTGGTATATTAAAGGAGTGTTCCAGAGTGTCTGACCAGCTCTTCGTATTTCCTCTGCACCAAAAAAAAAAAAAAAAAAATCTGTCAAATGTTGCCCTTTACCATTTCCACAGCCAGTTTTCATTTGCCTTTGAAGCCGTTCTCACCCACACTTTGGGCCAAGTCTGCTAACATGTGACATTCACAGAGGCTCACAGAGGAAAGCTGCCCACTCTTTGTGTCTGCAGTCTCTATCATAAAGCCTGACTTGAGCCAGGGAGGTTTGGCAGAATCCTTATGAAGCTCCAACGTTATTAACAGCATGGAGACCGAGTGAGCGCTAAAGCTTTGACTGATAGTGAGCTAAACACAAGCACCATGAGGAATTCCATGTGTTGAAGTGAAAGTCTCTGTTAGGTCATGTGGTACACAAGAAAAATATTTCAACCCTAGAGATTTAATCTTAGCAAAACAAAGTATTTTTTCTAGTATTCTAGCTGGTTATTCCTAAAAAGCTCTTTAGTTTTGATGAGTCACCAAAGCAACGTCACAGTTTGTCAACTGCTAGGTTCTTTCCTAGCCAATAACACAAACTTACAATATCAGATCAGAATCTCTTTATTGTCATATGCACCAGGGAAGGTGATACGAAATTTAGTTTGTACGACCCGTTCCAAGAAAAAACATGAATAGACAATAAAAACAATACAAATAATTGACAAGGGGGGACAGGAACAGGAAGTCCAGGACGCAGCCCGTGGTCAGCGCACCCTTATATTAGAGGAAAAACAACTGAAAAACGATAGGGAAGGAGGAGGAGGAAAAAAAGACAACTCCAAACTAGGCCCCGTGGGAAGGGGGGCACAGTGTGGGATTTAGAAAAAAACCTCTCAGCACAAAGCACAATCAAAGACATTATAACAGCACGAGAACATCTGCACATGTGGGAGTGGGGCGGGAGAATGGGGGTGGGGGTTCGGAGCCTCTTGTCTGCAGAAACATCCAGGAGAGTAGAGAGATAACCGTCCTTGAGAAGGCCGGTTATGTCTGGGAGCCAATGAAGATAGTAGATTGTTTTGGGACAGGGCGACGCTGGAATCTTCTGTCTGCCCTTGAATGTCTCTTGAATGTCTCTGAGTCTCCCCTCGAAAACCGCATCCAGTTTGCGGTTGAGCTCGCAAATCGCTTGAGTCTGAGTGTTGACAGCCCTGCCCCATCCGTTAGTCAGGGCGATGAGCTTGTCGATTGCCAATTGTAGCATCATCTTTTTTCCACGATGGAACAGGAAGGTGCCCAGGCCAATCAGCAGAAAACCTGCCATCATAAATCCAAATACCGTAGGTACAAATCTTCCACATCCTCCACGGAAAGCGCGGACAGGCACACGATCTTCCATCTGTCCCAGGAATCCAACGTGTACCCGGCCGGGAAGGTTCGGTCAGTGCAGCCGGGTTCTCCTTTACCCATTTTCATGGTTGGTTGAGAAAATTTGATCAATTGCGTTGAGAGACCAGTTGACCAGATCCATCATTTTGGTTTTGGAGGAAAATGCAAAAAGAGGCTCCGAGATAGTTTGACAGAGACGGTACAAGACATAGAGCAGTAGCAGGGCAGATAAGGGCAGGAAGGGAGGAAGGGAGCAAAGGAAAAAGCGTCCGCCTTCTTTGAGAGCAAGACATCAACTCATAATATTGAGTTGATGTAGGGTTGTGGTTTCATTTGGATTGATAAATCATGTCATTGATGAGTTCTCATCACAGGTCAGTTCATTGTCTCCCCACTCTTTGAATTGTCAGTTAGTCTGGACAAACTGTTTGTTGTATTCCAGAACTAACTAACACTCAACAACAACTAAACATTCCCCAGCAGCTGGTCTAAACTCAGACAGTGAGCCCTGATCAGACAGTTCTGTAGTGTGAGATCACAAGTCTTAAAGTCATCATACAACATTTGCTAAAACCACCCTATAAACATTGCACCATGTAGCACCTTCCCCAGCCAAGCCTCAACAGATCAGCACACAGGAAGGACAGAGGGCTTTATATGCAGTAGGCGGAGCGTGCTCAGGTGGATCTCATCAGGTGATCACAGAGAGTGACGAACAGAGAACAGGTGAGTTCTTTCTCACTGATTGAGGCTGATTGAAAGAGTGACACCAGCAGGAGCCATGTTCCTGCCTTCATGTGTTCCACCTGTGTCTTGTTGGATTCCGTCCCTTGGATTGAGTATGAACCCAGGTCCTCGTAAACTTCTTGGTCTGTATATGTCAACATTATTCTTTTATATCAGTACAATGTAGCCCTGTTATCTGATGAGTATTTTATGAGGATTGGGAACAGTAAAAGAATGAGGCGAGCCAAACGTTGCAGTTCCTTAAAAATAACTAAAGGTTTTAATGGTTGGACTATGAGAATCTGCAGGTCCATCACCACCAGTGTCTCCGGTGTCTCCAACTGCACAAGTCACCTGATCAAATATTTATATCAAATCCTTGATTATACGTGCGAAGATTTGTGGTTTAATAATTGGTGTGTAAAGTTGCAGTAAAGAAAACAGCTCAATTCTTCAATAATTAAAATAGCAACAGGAAATACTACAATACTACACTAGTTAAACTACTGTTTAGGTTTGCTACTGTATACCAGAAGTAGACCATCAAAATGTCATGTTTTTCCGGGGAATATATATTTTGTTTTAGGCCCAACTATCTAGAAGAAGCCTGACATATTTTTGTATTTACTTTCATTATTGCGTATTTTAAACATTTTACTGTCTGTCTGGAAGTTCTTCTCACTGCTGTTCTTCAGAACTGTGTAAAAACGAGGAGAGAAAATTGCTAACATTATTCAAACCTTATGAGCCTAGAAATGAAACCTTACAAAAGCCTATTACATTTTTGAGTTCTTTTGTACATACGGTGGTGTGCTTTAATAAGTAAGAGCGGACATTACTCCACTCCACTCAGTCTTCACATTACATACGTCCAGAAGAATACTCCGAAACATACCAATAAAGGTACTTTATCTGCAAGAGCAATACAAGGATAGGAGCTTATAAAGTAGGGGGAAAAAGTAGGTTGGAGACGCAAAGGACAACGAGTTGTTTGTGTGAGTTCAATATCCGCCAGTCTGTTTGTAATGTTAAAGGATAAAAAGGTCTCCAGGCGGCGGTAGATGACACAGTTAGTCTGTGTTGTTACCTAATGGAAATGCCTCTGTGGGCAGTGATGTTTTATAGGCCATTCTCTCCATTTGACTTGGTTTAAAGAAAAATCCAAATTCTGGAAAATAAGACTTAGGTGGAATGAGAGAACAGAACAGAAACCAAACAAACAATTAATCAGAATTAGAGATTAATTGAAAATCTGTGTTTGTGTTTTCATCCAAAACAGTACTGGTTTCCTCTGTGGTCCCCTGGTAAACTACTACATTTTTACATCTTTTTTTTTTAACCACCACAACTTTTTTTTTGGCCTCTGTCTGATTCATCATCCGTAATCTTTTTTTTTTAACCACCGCAACTTTATTTTTGGCCTCTGTCTGATTCATCATCCATGATGATAAATATTCCTGTGGACCACAATGCACCATTGTTAGTCAGTGTTACCAGGTGTCAAGAGCAAAACAAGAGGATAAAGAAGACTTTTCTCTAACGGAACTCTTTTATTTGGTATATATTTAACCATACCTCAGGGGTGGGGTTAAAGTCCGATGACTACTGGGATTAGCTCCAGACCCCAGAACATGATTATGTGGTGATAGATGAAAGAATGTACAAAATGACCTAATTAGTAACATACCCTGCACAACTGAAATGCAAACTGTTTATATATATATATATATATATATATATATATAAAAAACAGTTGTCAGATGTTTGCAAAGTACTTAGTCAGCAAACTTGACACCAACCGCCTGTAATCTAAGGCTTTAACCAAGAGCTGGTGATGCAAAAGAGCTGATGTTGGAGCTCTGGGACAGTGTGATAGAAGGTGGAGTCAGATGAATATGTCTTCTCCTACTGCTGCAATGTTATGACTTCTCTAATGAGCTCTGTGGAGAGTTGGGCTCTGGTTTCTTCACATCACCCAAAGTCTCCTGTGCAAAAGATTTAGAGTTGAACTGTCGTCAGACACATTAGCTCAGATGGATGAATGCATTTGCTCATGTTCTAGACAACAGCACATTAGTCTGTGAATTTTATTTTATTGTTTACATGAAAAAAACAACCAAATCCTTTTATCACACAACCTATTCCCATATTCCCATCGGTGCTGAAGGAAAAACGTCTCGGAAAAAAGGGAGGTTATATTCATGTAATTGGCTTCGCAGAACGGGTCGAGTACGTTCCAGGGTAAGTCTGAAATTCTTAAACAGACGTAAACAAATACATGAAAATAAAACAATCTCTATCTTCTTCACTGGTGTTCCATTCAGAGAGTCACAACCTGCTGTCTAGTTCAGCTCCACGTTCCTGATCGATCCCAAATTAAGTTATTGGGGGTAAAGCTAAAGAAAAAATACTATGGGCTTCTCTGTGCATGTGCGTGGACATCAACTACAAACTTTCAATCCACATTACAGTACTTTCATCAATACCACAGTCTCACACATGTAATCTCTTACTCAAGGCCGTCGCTTCAGCTCTCCACCTTGCAGATCATTGATATTTTCTGATGTGAATGAATAAGCTACCTGAAGTTAAGCAGAGAAGCCCGGTCCTTTGTAACCGCTGCTACGTTAAATGGGGAAATGAATAAAAGACGAAGAGACATAAGACAAAGTTAGCCAGAGCGTGGGGCTTGTTTGAAGTTGTCTATCGCATTTCAGGATACAGGCGAGTCAAGCGTTTTGTTATCCAAAGAGTTTAGTTGCAAGCAACTGGACCGAGACACTCCAAGAAGAAGTCCAGTTGGTTACGACTAAACTTTTTGGGTAACATGACGCAGGTGAAGGAGAATCTTCACAAACAAGGCTTTTGTTCTTTTGATTTTTTCAGGAAAAGAAAAATGCTACTACATACTACTGTATTACATGATAACATATGTTTAGGGTTCAAGTCTATCTACTACTTAATGAACATTTTTACCATGGATTGGTTTTCGCTTTAAAACTGTCACATTACTTTGCGGACTGCATTTGAACACATTTTCACATTACTTTGCGGACTGCATTTGAACAATCCCTGACGAACAATGTGATTCTAGTTTATTCACGTAAAGATAATTGTTTAAAACTCTGACGCACAGAAATGAGCAAAAACTAAACAAACATTTCTAATTAAAAATAAAAACAATGATTGTCAGTGTGTGTGTGTGTGTCTCCTAGAAAATGTCAAATATGTGCAGTTAATACAAAATGAATAAACGTATTAAAAAATGTCAGTTGTCCAGCCTGAATAGCTGTGTCCACTTAATGTCCCACAAAAGACTGGGACCAAGTCCATTGAAGTTCCTTTCTTTGTGTTTTAATCAACCCATTCTTCAGATGAAAGGAGTTGAGGGGAATAAAAAGAAGCCTTTCATTTTCCGTTCTGATAAAGAACTCAACTAAGAGGTCCCAAAAGGGCCCTTAATGGCTTATGAGGGAAGCAGTGATGAAACAGACAGAGGTTATAAATATTTCAGGTAATTTTGTTTTCTATTCATCTCCTCTTTCATATCTGCTCAGCATTCTGTCTCATTATCTCACAGCCAGA